CGACTCCGATGTGGCTTGGGTGCGATGGACCGTGCTGCGGTCTTGTCAGCCTTGCTCGTAAGCTGCGGCGTCCTTCAAGGCCTGGTCCAGAGTCAAGTCGTCCTGCCTGACCAGGCGTCGGCGCAAATTGGGCTCGCGGATGCCCACGATGAACTGATTAAGCAGCGTGTCGTCCAGGCTAGGAAAAGCACACCGCGTGGCGGCTCGGCGGAGGCCCGCCAGGAACTTGGCGGCTCTCTCCTCGGGGCCTTGGAACCTCGCAAAGAAGTCCACTCGCTCTGCTAATTTGGTCGGCTTTGGAGCGAGATGGTTTGTGAGGGTCTTAACCAGCTCTGCGAAGCTCTCCTCCTGTACCTTTCGGGGTGCGATCAGATCCTGCAGGAGAAGGAGGGTGTCCATTCCACAGAGACGGATGAGATGGGCCCTCTTCATATCTAGATCGGTGATGTTCAGGCACTTCAGGTAGTTCTCGAGGATCACTACCCACGTTCCCACTGCTCGGGATGGGAGAGGTCGAAACGAGCGATGCCCTCGGAGGAGGTCGAGGTGGCGGTGGCGGAAGAGGAGGCCGAGGCCAGAGAAGACATGCTTGCTAGTACTCTTGGGCAGAGACGCGGTGCAAAACGGCGAACGGAGGTCTCGGGAGCAAATCGAGGCGAGTCGAGCGGGGATGGCTGTCTTGGTCTGACGGAGCGAGGCGCTTGCGATGAGTGGTGATTCCGAGACGAACGGCGGGATGCGGCGGTGGTCTCGATCGGAGCTCGATGCAGGCTTGGTCTCATCCGGGTCCTGTTCAGGGAAGGTAGAATCCCACCTTCGTCGCCAGTGAAAAGTACTGACAGGAACAAGACAAAGTAAGCCGGCTCGCAGGCCGGTATATATGCACAGAAAACCCACCACCAAAACACACCCCCTACTTCCCTATAGGCTATATACAATAGCCGAGAGTCCCATAGGCTCTCGGCTGCGGACCTGGCCCTCTGATAGGCGCGGGCTAGGATCCGCTCAGCTATTGTTCATGGGGAGCGAAGCTTCAGGCTTTTGCATGACCGCATGGCCCAATGGTCGCGCACGTGGTAATGGCGGAGTACATTACAGAACCAGACCTTGAGGACTGGGACTCCTACCTTGCCAGGTTCGAGTTCCACCTCCAGGCTAACCAAATCGAGGATGAGGACCAGCAGAAGGCGACGCTCCTCAGCTCATGTGGGAGGGCTGTATTCGACGTCGCTCGGTCCCTGGTCGCTCCGGCTGAAATCAAGACCATGTCCCTGGCTGACCTAAAGCTGAAACTGAAGGGACATTCTGCGCTGCAACCTTCGCAGATCACTAGTCGGCACGCATTCTATAAGCGGTCCCAGGCAGCAAACGAGACAGTTGCTGAATACGAGTCAGCCTTGCAGAAGGCTGCACGGCCATGCAATTTTACCAACCTCAAGGAAGCGCTCCTCGACCGGCTCGTCTGTGGCATGAAAGATGAGAAGCTGCAGCAACGGCTGTTCGCACAGTCGGCTTTCACCTATGCCGTGGCCTACTCAGAGGCTGTTGCCGCCAAGGCCGCTGAGAAAGCAACACAAGAAGTACGTCAGAAACTGGCTCGAATCCAACAGGGGACCAGCAAGTCTGTGCACCACGAATCAGCAAGAAAGTCTGATGGTGAGCATGATGACGTCCACAATGCTCGAGCTCTGAGGCCCAAGCGGACCCCAGTGAAAACTGTGCCGAGGCGAACCTGTGCTGGATGAGGCGGAGATCACGAGTGGGATCGATGCTGGGCAAGGGACATCATTTGCCGAGCCTGTGACAAGCGAGGCCATTTGGCCAGAGTCTGCAGGGCTAGGAAGAAGAAGACACCACCGTCGTCTCCTCATGCACGTCCCCGGGTTCGAGGCGAGGACAACGCAAGGTCGGCAGATTGCCATCTGACCAACAGCTGTTCCTGCCCTTTGACCATCCTGAAGACTGGGACACCATCAAAGAAGAAGATCCATGTCACCGTCATGCTGAATGGCATACCGTGCGAGATGGAGGTCGACTCGGGATCATCCGTAACCGTCATTTCGTCGGAAACCTTGCAACGTTTGTTCCCGCGATGAAGCAGTCAGCGGTTGAAGCCGAGCACCATCCCAAAGCATGAGGGGAAAGGCAGAAGGGTGTTAATGGAGGCTGGCTTCCTGCCCCACCACAGTGCTGGGGAAGGGGGCGAGAAGGCCAGCAGATTGCGTATTGCCTTGCTGTGGTGTTGGAGAAGGGAAGAGGATGGGCAGCTACTTCCCACCTCCCCACAGTGCAGGGTGAAAGATGGTAAGTAGTGGCTTCCCTGCAGCACATAGGAGGGGGCAGCAAATTTGCCATGCAGGGTGTCAAGATAATGCATAGTCTTGGACAGGAGTTCCCAACCTTTTTTGAGCCTGTGGGCACCTTTGGAATTCTGTCACAGTGTGGTGGATGCAGCCACAAAATGGCCCCCACAGCTTTCCTTCAGTCACACAGCAATTTCAGCCAAATAAACATTTTTTAGAAATCTGCACAGCCAATCAAATCTAAAAAGACCAATCAGAAGAATTGCTGGGCAAAAGCCCCACCTGGTAACACCCACTTTCAAAAAACACTTGGTGGGTACCAGGAAATGTGTCAGTGGGTGCCACATTGAAGATCCCTGGTCTAAGAGAAACAGAAGTCCTTCCTGAGTTCCTTCCTGTAACTCTTCCCCCCCTAAGACACTACCCTCAAATCTCCAAGAATTCACCAAGTGAGTTGGCAGCCGTAGATCTGCCTGTGGACCTGATGGCACCTGCCAGCACCTTTCCTGATGCCCACCAAGCATTTTTAGAAAAATGGGCAGGGCCATGTGGGGCTTTTGTCCAGCAAGGCTTCAAATTGGCCACCGGGGATTTGACTGGCTGTGCAGATTTTTTGTGGTAACGCTGCTTCGGCAGCTGCCGCCACCACAGCTGCTGGCAGGGGGCTCCTGGCTGGTCTCTGGAATCTTCTGGCATGTGCATGAAGCAGGGGACGCCCTGCCAAATTCTAGAGTGCCCCCCACACAACATGCCTGGCAAGATGATGTGTCTTCCGCTGGCTGGCAGCAGATTGGGGCCCCCAAAGCAGGGGAAAACCTACCCCCATCGGGAGGGATGGGAACCCTAGTGACTGAAGTTAAACTGTGACAATCCTTTTGTAGCTGGCTGTGCCTACTACGGCAGCCATTTTCTGGCAGCCATTTTGTGCCTGCATCCACCACGCTGTGTCTGAATTCCAAAGTTACTGGGGCCCTGGGTTCTAACCACTATACTAAGAGACGAAATGAAATGTGGTGGAAGGGGTAACCACGAAAGCCACTCTGAGCTTCTTGGAGGAACGAGCAGCTAAAAATGTAATGAGGAGAAAAACTGGATCTGAAGAAAATGTTTTTGTCTCCTCTTTCTCCATGGTGTGTGTTCTGCTGTATGAGCTAATCGCACTCATTTGGCTGAAAGAAAGCAATGCATTTACTTGGAGATTTTGGGAGCATTATGAAAATGACATGTTTATGAGCTTGCATTAACGCAAAAGAAGGCATTAATGTTTCATTTCTTTCAAATAAGTCAGGAAATTACTAAGTAAAAGATTTTAACCACAGCAATAACTCAGCTTTATTTACATCATCTGGGGCTGATCCAGAAGCTTTTTTTAACAATAGAACAGAAGGTTTGGCTTCAAGGATGGATCAAAGGGTTAGGGTCTTGAAATATATCACTATTTTTAATGTGAAAGATTAGCCTTATGGGAGGGGGGAAACAAGAGGAAAAACTAAGTGAGGAAATGGCATACCCACAGCCCATTTTTTTTAACAATGTACAGGAGATCACAAGCCACAAAATTCATTTGTAGGCCCTTACAGTAAAACTGTTAATATAGATTGACAAATTGCCCTCCAGAGCATAAAAAAAGCTCAACAGTAAAATAAAAAGTTCAGTGTTTTAAAGCCAAAGCGGTGTGATGGTTAAGAATGTCAAACTAGGATCCGGGAGTCCCAGGTCTGAATCCCTCCTCTGCCACAGAAGCTCACTGGGCGACCTTGGGCCAGTCACACACACTCTCAGTTTAACCTACCTCACAGGGTTGTTGTGAGGATAGAAAATAAGCACCTTTGTCTCCCCATCAGGAAGAAAGGCATGGTATAAATTAAGTAAAATAAAATAAAAATAATATTCATAAGTACATGCATGAGGACAGCCAGTTTTGTGTAGTGATTACTGTTGGACTAAGCTCCGGGAGACCCAGGTTCAAATCCTCACTCTGCCATGGAAGCTTGTTGGCTTACCTGGAATAAGCTATTCACTCTCGGCTTAACCTACCCTCACAGGGTTGTGGTAAGGATTAAAAAGAGGACAGGAAAACAGTGTAAAGTGCTTTGGGTTCCCACTGGATAAAAGCCAGGCTGTAAGTCAATTAAATAAATAAAGCAGGTTGTGTCTGATGCCATATGAATCCTGTTTCCAAAAACATATGCTCACTTGTTTCTGTTTGGTTTATTTTGGGGTCTATAAACAGTAGGCAAACAATCACCATATGGTTCTAGCTGCATCTGAAGAAGTGAGCAATGACTCACAAAAGCTCCTACCCTGCCACATATTCTGCTAGTGTTTAAGGTGCTACTGGACCCTTGCTCTTTCCTGCTGCTACAGACAGACTAAGACGGCTACCCACCTTGATCAGTTTTTGCAAACAGATTTCTTACAGCCTCTTAAAGATTCATACTTTTTAATTCCGGCAAACGGTAGTAAACTAAGCTCATCCTGGAATAAATTCAACGGTTTGAAAGGTAGCACTAGACTCTTGTTTAATCAGCCTCTCTGGAAGCGCCATCTCATCCGCCCCGCAACCGCACGAACCACTCTTTAATTCCTCCCTCGGAATGGAAGGGGAGGGGTCGCGTATACTTGGCTCTGATTGCGCTTGTGACGTATTTAGCCGTGGCCCACAGAGGGTGTGATGACGTTATTTTTGCGCGCGGTTTCTTGGTAGCTATGCGCTTCCTGGTTAGCGCTAGTTGCCGCGCTATGTCGGCGGCTGTTCAGGGGCGGCCTCGAGGGCTGGTTTACGAGAAACACGGGGAGCCGGATCGGGTCGTACAGTAAGGGAACAGGAAAGCCTTTTCTTTGTCGGGGGGGGGGGGGGGGGTGGC